GTCCTCCCGCGACACCCACGGCCTTCACGAGGCCTGACCAGAGGCCAGAACCAGCTGCAGCGGGCTATCGACAGAGGAAGCTGGCTGCTCGAATCCTGCAAAGGTTCACCGCAACGCCTGACCTGTGTAGCAAGGCGAAAGAAGAGCATGTGAAGGAGATCCTCACAGAAATCGACTGGGCAAAGGCAGTCCTGCCCGACTACCGCAAGCCGGAGGAGAAGCAGCCGCAGGCGTCCTCCAGTAAGCGCAATAGATCGGGGGAAAATACGCTCAACCATGCAAAGAGGGTCAGAATGCAGGGGCCTTCTTTTGCTGAAGTAGCCAAGGAGCAGATCCTGCTCGGCGTCATTGATGAGAGCAATGAAGACAGCCTCACCCTGAGGCAGCAATGGAAGTGGGTCAAGGCCGCGATGGCCGACATTGCTATCAACATTATGTTGGAGAATCCGGGGCCTCCGCCAACCTGTAAGGGAGCGGGGTGGTTCCAAAATAACATCCGCGTTATAGCATGCGAGGATGCTAGATCAGCGGAGATCTATAAGAAAACAGTCGCAGGTATTGGAGAAGTCTACCCTGGTGCGAAGCTCAGGGCGGTCGACTTCAAGGACCTACCGGTGCGACCGAGAGCGAGAGCATGGTTGCCTTGCAAGCCAGCGGAGCCAGAAAGGATCCTGCAAACCATAAGGCTCTATAACCCGGAGCTACCAACCGATAATTGGAAGGTGGTAAAAATTAATGAAAGCGGTAAAGCGACGATGCAGGTTGTCCTGCTTCTAAATAAGGACTCCATAGAGTTGTTGGAGCAAAAGAGCGGGGTTATACGTTACGGCTGTGACATGGCCAAAATTAAGGTCTGCAGCAACGACGTAAACGCAGCGAAGAACCTGATCGCGGAGGTAGAGCCGGAAGAGGCCAACAGCGACGTGGAGATGGAGGAAGAATCCGAGCAGGTTGATCCGATGGACGACCTGACCGGGGGTTATGCCTCATCGACGTCTTCGCTGGGGGTCGGACGCATGCTTCGGCTTTATACGGAGGAGGAGTTGATCGAGATGTCGGAAGACGCGGTCAACTCCACCCTAATAGGCGACGTGGGCGGTAACGGCCAAGATGGTGAAGGTACTGCAGATTAACCTTCACCACTGTAAAGCAGCTTCAGCTGCACTGCTGCTCCATCTAACAGCTAAAGGGGCAGCCGACATCGTCCTAATCCAAGAACCTTGGGTGGTGGGACAAAACATTTGTGGGCTGAAAGCGCCGGGCTACAGACTGGTAAGTGGAGCCTCAACGGGGAAACCAAGGACGTGCATATTGATAAGTATCACACTAAAGTGTCTCTTTCTTCCACAATTTAGCGACGAGGACACAACAGCGGTCAGTCTAAGTGCAAACGGACGACCAATTAAGATGGCATCCATGTACCTAGCGCACGACAAGGAGGTGCCAACTATCTGCATTAAAGACCTAGTGGCCAGCACGAGAGAGGCGCTAATTTTGGGTGGTGATGCGAATGCTCACCATCACACCTGGGGCAGCTCCGATGATAACGAACGGGGTGAGTCACTTTTTAATTTCATACTTAGTTCTAAGCTTGTTATTGCAAATAGGGGGAATGATCCCACTTTTATTACAAAATTCCGAAGGGAAGTTCTGGACGTTACCCTTATCTCTGAGAATGCGGAATGTCTGGTCGGGAAGTGGAAGGTGCTTCAGGAGCACTCCTTTTCCGACCACCGATATATCCAATTCGAGGTATTAGGGGAAACGCCCAAGGCTCCTCTAACTAGAAACTTGCGAAATGCCAACTGGCATAGGTATCGGAAAGAGCTGGATAGGCTTTTGCCACAAGATAGAGAGCCGGCTACTCCAGCAAACCTAGAGGAGCTGGAATATCTTGTCGACCATTTTACGGGGGCCTGCAGTAAGGCAATAGACATTGCATGCCCCAAAAAGCAGTACCGGGGTAGGAAAAAGCCACCCTGGTGGAATGAAGAAATCAGGATTTCACGCAAGAACTGCAGGAAAACCTTCAATCAGGCTACTGCGTCTGGTAGTGAGGGACATTGGGAGACCTACAAGACAACGTTACGGGAGTACAAGAAGCTCCTAAGAAGGTCGAAAAGAACCTCATGGAAAGACTTCTGCAATGGGGTGGAGTCTATCTCAGAGGCAGGCAGGCTCAGAAAGATACTCTCATACTCTCAGGTACTGCCCAGAAAGCCCCAGGATGCTTGCAAAGACCTGACGGCTCCTGGACAGAGACCGAGGAGGAATTACTGGATCTGCTTCTTTGCACACACTTCCCGGGTGCCACGGATAGCATGTCGGTACAGCCACATCTAACTGGAGATCTTTCGGTCACTGGAGATTTCCTCACTAGGGAAAAGGTCATCTGGTCTATTGGGACATTTAAGCCCTTTAAATCAGCAGGTCCGGATGGCATTGCCCCCATACAGCTGCAGCAAACATTTCAGCTAAGCTCAGCGTGGCTACACGCTATAATTAAGGGAGTATTAGCTCTTAACCATATCCCTAGAAAGTGGAGGGAATCAAGAGTGGTGTTCATCCCCAAGGCAGGGAAGGTGTCTCACAATAACCCAAAGGATTTCAGGCCCATCACCTTGTCGTCATTTCAACTGAAGGTTATGGAGAGACTGGTGGAGGTCCGTATCAGAGAGTCGGTTGATGACAGACTCTCTACCACACAACATGCTTATACGAAAGGTAGATCTACAGAAACGGCGCTACATGAAATAGTGTCGTATATAGAGAGATCACTAGACATCAAAGAATATACGCTAGCAGCCTTCCTGGATATAGAGGGCGCCTTTAACAACATCATGCCGGGCGCGATAACGGCAGCACTGGCGGGCCTGGGCATCGACCCGCGCTTAGTTGCGCTCGTAAACCAAATGCTGAGATGCAGGGTGGTCCGGGCGGAGCTGGCGGGGGTATCGTTGACCAGGTTCGTAGAGAGGGGCACCCCGCAAGGGGGAGTCCTATCCCCTCTATTATGGGTCGCAGCGGTAAACTCACTGCTGTGTGGCATGGAGGGGGGTGGCTGTAAGGTTATTGCGTATGCGGATGATCTTGCACTAACAGTAAGTGGGAAATTTCCACAGACTCTATGTGACATTATGCAGGTAAAACTGAAGGAAGTCGAGAGTTGGACAAAAAATAACGGGTTAGGGGTAAACCCAAGCAAGACAGAACTTGTACTGTTCACAAGAAGGTACAAAATCCCCCCATTGATAACACCAAGGCTGGCACAGACCACACTAAAATTAAGCGAATCCGCTAAATACCTGGGGATAGTCCTAGATAAAAAATTAAGCTGGATTCAAAACACCGAAGAGCGGGTGCGGAAGGTCACGGTTGCCCTATACAGCTGCAGGAGGGTAATCGGCCAAAAATGGCGTTTAACCCCGAAGCTAGTGCACTGGATATACACCGTCGTGGTGAGGCCCATACTTCTGTACGGGGTAGTGGTATGGTGGCCAGTGCTGGAGAAGAAAGTAAACATTATTAAATTACAAAAAGTGGAGAGAACGGCCCTGATCTGCATTAGTGGTGCTCTCCGCACAACACCTACTATGGCAATGAATACGATCCTCAACATCATACCCACAGATATTATGGGACGACAATACGCTGCGTTTGCAGCTCTAAGACTACAGGGGCTTAAAAGCTGGAAAGCGGCTCGCTGTGGTCACACTACAATTCTGAGAAACCGACAACTACCGAGTACAAAGGACTACTGTGTACCAAGGCTCACTTTCACTAAAGGTTATAGCGTAACGCTACCTAGCAGGGAATCATGGCTCGAAGGAGTTCCGGGGTCTAGAGATGCCATAAGATTCTACACGGACGGCTCCAAACTAGAAAATAGGGTAGGAGGAGGCGTCTACTCGGAGAAATTGGGAATAAAAAGATCATTCCGACTACCTGACCACTGTAGTGTCTTTCAAGCCGAATTGGCAGCCATACAAGAAGCCGTTGACAGCCTAAAACTAGCTGATATCGCCACTACGGAAATATATATATACTCAGACAGTCAGGCGGCCCTTATGGCGCTTGACTCTGTCACTATAAATTCGGAAACAGTTGCCAGCTGCCGCAAATCACTTAACGCGATGGCAGAGCAGTTCGCTTTGCACCTGGTATGGGTACCGGGGCACAGTGACATACCAGGAAATGAGAAGGCAGACGAGCTTGCAAGGGCGGGTACTTGCTCTCCACTTTCACCAGCCTGGAAGAGGGTGGGTATCAGAGAACAGCTTTGAGTATGATCGAGCCTTTTTGATCACACTCACTAAAAATCAAGCACATGCGAACGCCACACTCGGCTACTATGTGTTCAATCGAGATGCATACCCGACAGCTGCTTTGGTTACGAACGAGTCTGTTCGTTCACCCTCGCTATAAATTGAGCACAAGCGAACACCACACTCGGACACCCGCAGCTAACCCGAAAATTTGTGTAACAATGAAACGGACACCGGAACATTGCGATAAAATGCAGGACAACAAAGAAATTTAACCCTCTAATGCACATACCTAAACCGCTACGAGTTGGGTGACCATAATTTTTGTTCTGGGCAACTTGGGTTCGAGAAACACGATTCTGAAGTCAAATTTTAGATATATGTTATAACCTAGCCGCCAAATGAGGTAATCTATAGAAGGCCTGAGGGCATCCTTGTGGGAATGGGCATGCAAAAATTAAACAAGTAAGTTGATTATAGATCTTTCAGACAACAGTTTTTTTTATTTGAAATAACGATTTCACATATATAAATGCAAGTAACTGGAGGTACTTAAAAACTACGGTTTAGTATGATATGATAAAAAGCAGTTCTTAGCTGCACTGCAACACAAATGCAGGTCACATTTACGACAAACGCATTGGGTTTGCGACGTCTTGCAGTACTTGCACTTCCTTTTACCATCTTTTTTTGCCAGCCATACAGGCATGTGGTCTAATCCGTCATAACGCACATCTATCCAGTGGCAGACCGGGCTCGTTGACCGGATACACTTGGCTGCTCAAGTTCCTCTGGTGCAGTAGACGGTCTACCAACAGGTCTTTTTTTCGTGTATGCACAAAGAGCAGCAGCCAAATCCAAACGAAATTCGGGCAATGATAGTAAGTGCTCTTCTGTTTTGGGTTGTGATGGATCTTTCTGTTTCTCGAAATTCGCTCTTTTGTACAGAATGTAGGCATTTGTGATGGTCATATCAACCAGGTGGTAAAAAATACGTGTCATAACATCACGAGTTTTCAATGTTATTTTGTATCTACCCATCAAGCCGTCCATCAAATCAACACCCCCCATGTGAGCGTTATATTCTCTAATAATCTGTGGGCAATCAACGTTTACGTATTTCTTCTCCTGCCTATTATATCTCGAAATTTTCGCTATTTCCGGAACACCCGTGCTTCGCGAAAATGGAGTTATTCCTACATATGTAGATGCTAAACGAACGCATCTTGTATCTTTCCATAGTACTGTTGATAAATCGATGCCGTAAGCTGTGGCAGCATACTCAGTGGAATAACCTCTAGCTGCTTTTGTCATTTCTGGATCTTTATCTGACGGTAGCTTGCAATTAGGCAGTCTATTTGCACGAACTGTGCCTAATGAATAAATTCCACGCGCACGAAGGTACACTAGCAAAGGCAATGTGGTGTAGAAATTATCAAAATACACGATATGATGCACAAAATCGGGTATTGTCTGAGATAAACGGACAACTACGTTAGCAGTAGCACCTAGATCTGGAGCTCCAGGAACAACAACATTATTACCTGCACCATTGAAAATTTCAAATCTATATGAGTAGCCATGTGAATCACATAGCACAAATAGCTTCACGCCCGATTTGTGCGGTTTATTTGGCATATATTGCCTCAGATGATGCTTTATTTTGGTGCTACACATCTGCTCATCGACACAGAGTCGGGCTGTTTTTGGAATTGAATCAAATCGCTCGTTCAATTTGTCTAAAAGCTTCCTGATACGAAACAGGATCATAGCCTTCTTCACCTCGTCTTATCCTGTCTTCTTCATTTGAGAAGCACATATACTTCTTCATTTGCTCAAACTTCCTGAGAGGCATGACTTTTCTTACTTTATCCACTTGAAATTTTCCCCAGTACCATCGAGTATTGGGTATAGTAACAACTGTCATGTACACAAGTAAACCAAGAAAGTGATGAGCCATTTCCGAATCCACATGGAATTGCGTGTTAACATTGCCTGAAACAGCTTTCGCATTTGTCTGCTTTACAATGAAATCAATTACTTCTTCCGTGAAGAAGTACTTGAAAAACTGATAAGGTGTTTCAAAACCGACTACTTTGTCAGGTAACTTATCATTCCCTCTGAACGCTACTTCATTGACGTGATGCTGCATACTTTTTTTTCGCCATAATATGTTTTTGAACTCATTGGACTGCTTATCAATATCTACCAAACCTGAGGAAGAGGAAAACAATAAACGTTACCCCAACACTATAATAAAAAGCTTATTTATAACCTACTTTGTGCTGTAAAACCACCTGGACCTAAACGCACTGTTGGACCTTCTTCTTCGTGTTCAGGTAACGGAGAACGTGGCCTTTTTCTATTGATTGTTGCTGCTTCAGGTGCTGTTGTTGTTGCTTCAGTTGTAGTTGTTGGTGTTTCTACGGTTGTTGTTGCTGGTGGAGTATCAGATATTGTTGATGACTCTCCAAGCAAACTGCTATTTAGAGAAATCTGAACAGCTTGTATAAATGCGTCACTTGTTTCGGCTGAGCTCATAGTATTCAAACATTCATCTATAAGTTCATTATCTTCTGGAGTTATCCCCCCTGACATGTAATCTGGGTCATTCACAAAATCGTCGTCATCAAAATGGCTATCATCCGGTCCAATCACCGAATCCATCAAATCTCTTATTTGCTCCTCACTTATTGAGCTCAAGTTATATTTCTTTTGTCTCTCCGCTGGAGACCAGTCTTCGATTTTCCGCCTTTTGCCCCCCCGTTGGAGCCGTTGACGGCGTTCAGATCCAATTTCAACATTATCTGACATAATTCTACAACTCAGGTAAAAAAACATGTAAGCAGTCAAAAGGTTCACCTCGAAAAAAGCACTTGCTCACTACAAAGAAGGGAATTTTTTTATTCCGTGCTTCACAAGGCTGCCCACAGGCACGATCAAACAATGTAACAAAAATCGCATTATTTGTTTTTTATTCCACTTCTTGATATCAAACAACCAAACTTTATACTTACTCGAAGCTAAAAAAAAAATATGAACCCGATATAACTATTATAAGTATGTTTTTTTGCGTTTCACCAAACAAGGAACTTCACTTTACAATTTTTCTTGTTTATTCAGTGATTTCTGAAACAATACTGACAATGACTTTGCAATAATTCGCAATAATAAGCGCGCATTGGTCTCATTTTGTTGGTAGAAATGTACGCGATGGCTACCAATAACGAGCAGCATGAAAAATATGTGTACATTCAAAATAACTGACTTAAAAACTGAATGCCCTGAGGCATCCTTGTGCATTAGAGGGTTAAGCTGAAGGTAACTGGCGCCAATATGTTCCCACAAAGCATACGAAAATGTTGTTGCTTGGTGCTTGTGCATACGCAATGAAAAAATTAGAAGCGAAGTAGACAAAAATGTTTTTGCATCTATTTCGTATAGTTTCGCGTGGAAAGCTGTGTGTGTATATATTAGAACACAGCCTAAAACTATGTAGGTACATAAGTACTTTTACAAAAAATAAATGTGCACCGAGTGTATAGGGCTTGGGCATTGCCGATCTACACACATTTATACCTAAATGGATGTAGGCGTCGTGATGCCGCATTTTGTATGAGCAAAAATATAAGAAATGGTTAAATGTACACTTAAACAAACTACCGAAAAACTCAACCTTCTCTTTACCCTCTACGCACAAAAACTAAGAACACCGCGATGAGAAGGCAACATTTTTTGTAGAAACAAAAACGTCATAAGCCAATCAAGAAAATTTTGTGCACACTCGGGTTGAAACTCGAACACCCGGGTATATTGAGCTGCAAAGCACCCGAACCCAATCAAGTATGTATGAAAAGCAATCGGGTGTTGTGGCCAACATGTTCGTCTTGAGCTCAGTCGATAACGAACAATACTTCTGCTCGTATACAGAGAACGATGCAAAACGGGTTTTGTTAGATGATCGAGTGTACACGAAAATCATGCACCCGCTGCAGATGTCTGGTGGGTATGCCACTCGCTTCCTGCAAGCTCTTACTAAGGGAGAACTTCCTTGAAGAAGCGGCCTCCAGATGGGAGCGCACTGAAAACTGTAATACAACGAAGCTTACATGGCCAAAATGGGATGTACGGAGATCGAGAGAAATTCTCACTCTCAATAAAGGCGATATGTCACTGGCCATTGGTCTGCTCACAGGACATATTCTGATAGGAAGGCACGCAGAACGCCTCGGGGTTAGTCACAACGACTACTGCAGGAGCTGCCACGACGAAGAAGAGCCTGAATCAATAAGGCACTTACTCTGCGATTGCCCAGCACTGGGCAGGAAAAGACAGAAATTCCTAGGTATAGGTCTTCTAGACGATCTAAGCGCGACTGCTAAGTTTGGAATACGGCAGTTGCTAAGGTTTGCAGACTCCACAAACTGGTTTAAGGAGTAGGGGTTTTTTTTGGATCCATGTGGTATCACAATGGGCCCTGATCGGGCCTAAGTGTGCTGGCGCCCTCTGGGCCTAGCAGCCAATTCAACCTAACCTAACCTAACCTATTCATCATTCCAGATTTTTTCTTTTTTTATGAAAAAGTTAAAAAAAATTCTAACTTTAACAGAGGAAAACTTCAATATTTTAAAATTTTTTTTTTTCATTTGTATCAAAGCATGTTCCTTTTCAAAAAAGGATGCTACAAACGAAGAAAATCGATAGATATGTGAATACAAATTTGTGAATGGTCATATGAAAATGCGCCAAATGTAACATTCTTTGCTGCTCATATATCATACTTTTTTTTATTCATCCACCGATTTTCTTCTTTTCAAATTACTAGTTTTTTTTTTGTAAAAGAACAGGCTTTAACACAAATGAATAATTTCACAAAAAAATCGATACTTCTTAAATTTTTTCATAAAAAAAGAAAAAATCTTAAATGATTAATAAATTCCTCAGAAACTACTAAGTTATAGAAAACTGATGTACATAAGAGGCGATTCACGTCAAATGTTCCAAGCGCGCTGAGCGGTGCAAAGCAATCTTGTTTTCGAATAGCTGAAAAGCAGACAGAAAATGGGAAAAATAATTCAAAAACCATGATTTATATAAATTTTTGTACGGGCTATCCGATAGTGTTATGCGTTTTCCAAAATTTTCCCATTTTCGTGGTGAAAATTCGCAACGAAATTTTAATTGTAATTTTTCTCAATTATGGTCATTTTTAATATTGGTTTAAGTCATCTCAATCGAAAGATCAGGTCTTTTTACAAATAAATCATTAATAAAAAAGGGACTTTTTTGATTTTTCCTAGCTATAAAGCGTTTTATAGCGGGCTATACCAGTTGCCACGCTCCGTCGCGTCACGTCGACTCCGTTCGTTTGAACGAATTAAAACATAATTCTGTGATAGGAAATTTTTACAAAATTATTATTTAAACGCGCTATATCTCAGACGTGTGTGTATCGATCGATTTGAAATTTTTACACAATAAACTGAAAACTATTCCAAAGAATTTAAGTTTAAAAAAACTTCTTAATACTTATTAAAAACAAAATGCCGGTTCTAAGAACTTTTTTTATAAAAATAAATGGGGCGGTTTTATTCTAATTAAAAATGTGTGTTATAAAGTTTCAAATCTAATTTATTTTTTAATGCAGCATTATAGACAAATATCTGAAATAGTTTTTGGGAAACTTTCAGATTTAAATACATATCAGGTCGTTCAAAAGTTATGACAATATGAAGGTGATGCGCATAGATTTTTGCATTTAGTTATACCAAACCGAGCGCAGATGGGTTGCCTTTTAATTAGATGTCTCATTTTGGTCTCTTCTTTTGGATTTTTCTGAGTTGTTTTAGGTTTTTTTGTTTGTTGAGAGTTTGTTTTCTAAACGTTTTTCTCACTCACATTTTTTTTTAATTCAGGCAAACGAACCGCGCCGACTTTCACTTTTTCACTTAAACTTGATATA